TGGTGTTCTGGTAATTAAAAAAGCCACGGTAGTTCATCGCTTGACAGAGTAAACACAAGCCACGCGAGACTTTGAGAGATGCACCCTCAAAGCCGGCTCGCAACGAGAACTGATGCTTCCACTGTCAGCGGTACATTTGCAGTTGCGCATCTCCAGCTGCTCCTCCAAAGTAAATCTCCCGTGTCCAAGGTTAGTCCCGGCGTGGCCATGTATAGATTTTCTAATTATCTTGCTTGTTTCAACTGCATTTTGAGCCAAACTCGTTTTTTGGCTCCAACCTGGTACAAAATGCGCTTGGAGTAAGTACTTTGAATGGCCGATTGCCTTTAAATTACGGGCAAAAAGGCACGATTAGCATGAGGAACACGCGTGCAACTCGTGCGTCTGCAACAAATAAAAACGATTAGACTCTCTCTCTCTCCATCTTCGTCCGCACGAGGGATTCTCCACAGAAGCTCCGGGACACGTGTAAGTATACGATACAAAAACCGACAGAGTCTCGTGCAACTTCCTCCACTCTTGCGGGTCGCGAAGTTCATGTTGAATCACGTGGCCGCCCCGCTCGTCTAGATCGGCGTGCGCAAAAAAATAACACGCCGTGCACTCGGACAGTACGTGGCGTGTATGTTTTATGTTGGAGAGGCAGAATTTTTTCCTCAAAAATATTGCAAAATGTACAGCGTTACGTCACGATTCGATCTTTTTCATTTGAATCACTGTTTTGCGGCTTCGGTCTGAAAATAGTTCCGCAACTTTGATATCGGCTCGGTGGTTGTGATTTTTACAGGACAGCGCCAAATGTAAACAGACTCGCGCGTGTTGTCACGCCGCGGAGACGTGATCGAGATGTGATTCGATACGTGTTGACACACGGTATAGAGGCAGAAAAAATTCATGTTTATTTTAGAAGAAAAAGTATTTTCTGTGATTAACATCGATAAATTTGTTGCGATCGAAACTAGTTGTAAATGTTCACTTGAGTAACGAAGATGGGCATTTTTCAAATCCAAAGATAAATTTAATTTGAATCGAAATTCTGGAACGAGGAAAATTTCCGAGACGACTGTCGGGAAAATTGTGCCCGTCGTTGTGTAACAGAGATCGGTTTTCTTGGTTTTTTGTTCCGTAACGTGAAAAAAAAAAATTACATTTCTTTCTAGTACTTTGTACAAACTTCAGCAATGCTCGTACTTGCTGTCAAGTCCGACTATTAAAGAAGATATAACTCTTCCGGGGGCAAGCTTCGAATTATTGAAGCTCGACTTGCGGTGCAGACGAGGTATTATATTTGAAAAAAAAGGAGATGACACAGAAACGTTGATCTTGTAATCATCGGTTTCAGGTTTTTCCCATCTCATGCGAAGTAATCAAAAACGGCGTGGATGATGACCGACAAACAGACAGACAGACGGACGATAGACGGAGGAAAAATGCGAAAATGCACGTGCCGAGAAAGAGGTGCCGCGCCAGATAAAGCTCGGCTCTTATAGTCTCTCCGTTGTTATCGTGAATTTCCAGAGTGGACAGACAGAGAGCAAAAGAGAAAGTAATAAGTACATCTCGATAGCACTGTGCCTTATTCTTGGTCCACGCTCGAGGTTTTACGCTTTTGTACGTCGAAAGCTCGTGAGCGTGTTATGTCCGTGCGAAAGATCACGTCTGCCTTTTCCGAGATTGTGTTTTTCCTTTCCCGATCTTTCCGCTTTTTCTGTACGAATTTGATATCCTCGTTCTGTAAAGGCGATGAGCATGTAACAGAATTTTCTAAAAAATTGTTTGTTAATTTTAACAAATTTCATTATACATCCAACCACTGGTGTATTATAGTTTGGTTAACGTTATCATTATCAAGAATAAGATGTAACGTAATGTAGAACTCCTATAATGCCAGTTCACCGTTTAACAGTCTTTTTATAAGTAATTGTAACTTGTAGTTTTATAATTTTTTTAGATTTTTTATAAATTGATATTGGGAATGAGCCTATATTTGGGCATGCATTTTGATTGTGATTTTTTTTTCTTTTTCTTTTTTTTTGTTATGTTTGAGATCAAATTTGATGTGGTTCTAGAAAAAATTCAATTGTTTACTATAAATTGGAGAGGGAATTTCCACGTATACCAATCAAACAACAACATAATTGTACTTTAAGAGTATTTATTGTACAATACTTATATGTCAGGTCGTGATTAATCGGAAAAGCCAAAGTTGTACAATAGACTGGATAGTATCAATGTACACTTTATTGGCGAATTGTAGTTTTAGATTAATAATAAATTTTATTTTCAGACGGTGCACATGCACCTACACCCATACTAAATTTTTTTACGCCTATAACGTAACTATCTAATCTGCTCGGTCTTCCAAAATACTCGAGCTTTATCAATCGATTATGTAAGTTGTAAATGTTGCTCGACCACCCGAAATCTTAAAAATCGCACGTTTCTGACGACGATCTGATAAAATCATCGCTTAATCGATATAGTACATCCACTTTGCACTCGTCACGTTGCACTTTAAAGAGGAACAGAAGAAAAAAAAAGGGAAGGGGGCAGTGGTGCTTCGGCAACATCTCAGCAGGGCCTTTTTTTCCGCAACACCTCGTATACAGTCCCCGCAATTTGTAAAGTAATACATTAAAGTACACATGTTGCAAGTCTCCGATAGAATATACCTCTAGGCTGTGGTCGCGACCCAACAGTCCCATTCTTTTTGCGCTCATTACGTTACGTTCCACTTACCACAACAGACAGCAATGCCCCGTGTCAGCGAGTGTAAGATGCACTTCCAATGACTTCTCGTAAAGTTTTACGCTAGTAGTTCTCGGCTCGAGCATTAATTGGGCGTTAACTGATATGAAAATTCAGAACTATAGAAATAATCACACGGCTTCGATGTTCTCTGGATGTTGTAAAAACAAAATAAAACTTATCAGCCGAAAAGTGGGTCAACAATTTATCTCAGACTTTTTTTTTTCAAATCATCATAAACATTGTAAATCAACTGCCGAGCGGTTTTTGGATTTTTTAATAATTCAGTAGCCAGACAGTTGTAAACTTTAATAACATTCGCGATATTGCAAGTGACCAAAAATCTGTTTTGTACAATCTGTTACATCCGCCTGTGCATCCGCTCGTATTTATGGATGCAAGATAAAACGGTATTTTGCTCCTATAAATTTAAGATAAATATTTTGAGAACTGATTTAAATACCAATAATTATTATTATTCGCAGTTTATTCAGTCACATCAGATGTGATGTAATAATTCTTAATAAACATCTTACAAAGGTATAGTATACCTGTACGTAGAACTGAATGTATAAAATAAACCAAAAACTTGAAAGACAAAGTTTGGGTGGTAAATTCTTAGTCGAATGCCTTTCGTGACATTAGGTAATTTGTTATACAATACAATCGCACCCAAGAAAGGCACTTTTTTTTACTTTTAAGTACTTAAAATTATAACTTTGTATCGTAAACTGTAAATAAATTTTTTTTCAGATTATTGTAATGCTTTTGTTGAAATAATAATTTTGTATTATATTTCTGTACAAGTTTGTCCTCAATTTAAATTTTATTTAATTAGTATTTATCACTTTGAATATTCGTCTCTGTAAATAGAACATTTAATGGAACACCAAACGCACCTCCAATAGCCATCTCCAAATGATTTTTCACCGAACAAATTATATCGTCGACAGCGATGTAAACAATACATGGGCAATGCGCAAACGACACGCAAAACAAAATTACCCTGTGACGATCTTGGAAAACGTCCGCATCATCCTGCCGTAGAATCACAAAGTTATTGTGCTTATCAATAAGTAGGTATATGACAATATAAATACAAAGGGAACTCGACAGCCGGTTACCGCGTTCCCCTCCTAATGTCCGTCTTCTCTCCCTACTTTCGTTTCCCAAAGCGTGTCTTCCTTCACCCACACGAGCACCCATACGACGGAGCGTCAGTCGAACACACCGGCACGAGGGCATCACTATAGTAGCCCGCACTGCCGTTAAAACATATAATACGAGTCCGCGTGTCTCCCTCGCTCAGTCTTGGTCGTTTGTCCGTCCGTGCACGGAGTGAGTACTTAACTCAGTTTTTGTCCAGCACCTCGAGGTGACAAGTTCACCGGATTGTCCGGATAAAAAAAAAATAACGAGTCTTGTGTAACATGGGCATATTCTGCGAGTTTCCCGCTGTATTTAACCTCTACAAGAAGTACAGTTAGAGGAGACGAGGGCACACGGTTCTTTCCTACCCCGAGATTTTTCTTTTCTCTTTCTATTATTGTTACGTGCGTGGGAGTCTGGACGGCGAGTCGGTCGTTTCGGAGCTCATCTGACTTCAAAGTTGCCAGATATTTCTACGACAATTTTCACGATACTAATGGTGAGTGATACTTACCTTTTATTTCCATTCCGTTTATCTGTTGTGGACGCTTCGCGTTGACCAAGTCCGATTTTTCTATTTGAATTTGCTCCGAAAAGTTCATTTGGAACTTACGAAATACAAAAAAAGCGAACTTGGGAGAATATTTTTTTTTTTTCGTCATCCTTACAATGAGTTGACGAATGTTTGAACCAATGAGTACCAATTTGAGCGCCTCTGCTGTACGACTAATGATTTGCTAGTTGATAAAATTAACAAGTAAGCCGGTTTGCGGCAGTAGGTACTGGCTGAGGGTACTATTAGAAACCAGAGCGTCAAAGGTAGTTGCAACATGTCCTTTTCTTTTATCTTTACCGATAAGGGATTTGTAAACGCCCAGAGCATGGAAGTCGTCAATAAAAATGCATACAACACTACCGACGTTATAGTGACAGTGTCCGAAAAGCGGGTTTTCATAATATTGTTATCTCGAGTGTTAGATGATATCATTGCACGTATATAGCCCATTATTTTTAATTAGGTGTTGCTGATAAAAAAAAGTGACTGATAACACCTGCGCCTAATCGATTCACCTCGAAACGCTTTCCCAACAAGTAGTTCGGCCAAAGACAATTCTAGCGGCATATCAAAGCAACAGAGTGCCCGTCAGCTGTCCAGGGGCTGCGCACAGGGTATTTACCATCCATATATTCCCGAGGAGCACCCAACCCACACATAAGCTCCGAGCAGACAATTCCTCGCGGGCTCCTACAACTGCGCACAACACCCCAAGCAACCCTCGTGGACGGCGAGCAGGGCGAGTTGGATAGTACTTGTGAAAATTATTTTCCGCAAAGAATACATGGGGTCGATATCGGCTGTACTCGGTTGTGTGCATTGCAATCATACGTGCGACGATAGGCGTGGAAGAGAGGGGGAGCCGGTTAAAGCTGAGGGATAGAGAGCTGACGGACTTATTCGCGTCGCGAGCGCCGCTTAGTCGTACACACGGTACCGCCAGGGAGAGACGCCGTATATATACTACACGACGAATCGATTTGTTCATTGTTTTGCATTTGGGAAAAAAAACCCTGCTTTTTTTCTGTCGTCAATTGCATCGGTCGCCGTTTTTTTTTCTTTTCTCGTTTTGTCGTCGGAAGACATCAAATTGAGGCCGTGGAAGGACTTTTTTTTTTTTCATTGATGTTGAGGTTTTGTCAATCTATCGACCGTACTTTGGAGGAAACAATTGGAATGCCCGATATTGACATCGGCCTCGTGGTTTTCATCCCGACGTGCAGTACGTATTTTTGGGTATTGAATTTTTTTTTTTTTTTTGTTCCCCAACGGAAAAAGTTAGTGTGAAAAAACGTAGCAAACCATAACTTTCTCTGATGTAATGTACAGTTTGGTTGGATTTCGGACCACAGTTACAGTTTGTTACGTTTTGTTACGTTTGATTATAGTCAACTACAACCCAACACATTGTCTTACGATTCGTTACATTTTTTTATAATTCTAAAAAGACACTTGAATCTCGTGAAAAAGCAACTGTAGTAAACTCTAATAAACTGTGAGGAAGTGTTGTCATCTGGAATGTTTTATAACAGCTTACAGTTTTTTGCAGTTCATTACATTTTTTTATATTTTATTATCATTGATAACTTTTAGACACATTTCCTTACATTTTCGAATAAAATTTGCCTTAAATAAAAAAAACTTGAGTAACTATTATAAAAAAGTATAAGTGTAACAGCATGTGGTAAATCATATTAAAACGTAAGAAAATGTAAAAAAACGTAACACAACATGATAAAGTGTAAGAAACGTCTGATATCCATGAGACTATTACAGTTCCTTACATTTTCTTACATTTTCTTGCGGGTTACGGCATATTATTACACATATGTTCACTTTTTCTAACATTTTGTTACGTTTTCAAATTTCCGCTGGGGTTTTAACGAAAAAAGCTTTTCCATCGCCTGACATGCTTGACACACTTGCACGATATACTTATACACTCTGTGGACGGAATATTGATTTGTTGACCTCACGCTGCAGAGAAATGTTCACGCTGTCACTATACGTAAGGACTATCCCACTATTGATTGTTTAATTGTTTCTTGACCTTTCTATGGTACAAGAGTAAAGACAAAAATTTAATTTTTTTCATTACTAACTTGTCAAGAGTTAAAAATAGTGTGAAATAATCGTTTATTACGATAAAAGTCAAGATATTCTTAATTCCTATGTGAAGATGCCTTTTAAATAAGACTTATCTGCTATTTTGAAACATTTCATCATTTGTATATACATGTATGATTGTATGATTGATAACAGAGTTTACATAAGAAGGAATGCTTCCATTGCTCAAAACGACGTAACTTGCACGAAAAGAAAATTTTTTTTTTTTTAGTAAAACTAATAGTATGTAGGTACATCCGATCGATAATCAAGTATCGGCTAGACAACATTACTCAACATGAATATAAAATACGTGATCGTCAGGACACTTTTTGCTATCGTAATGTCCCATTTGAACTCGATGAAACTGCAAATTAAGCTCAAAAGTCAGATTAATATATTTTTTTTTTTTTTCTTCATCCAGAGCTTTAATCTCAGTGCTTTAGGTTATCGCAAACTGCGCAATTTTTTTTTTTCCAAGTGCTTGTCAGTCACGTGATTACGGATGTAGAGAAGGTCTCTCTCCTGCATCTCTCCAATGCACAACTTGTCGCGAGGCGGACTTTTTTTTTTCCTTCCTTTTTGCGGATGTTTTTGCTGACAAAGCGTCTTCCTCCGCGTCTCGTAAAGCTATATTCGTTTCTTCAAAGAAAAAAGTTATGTTATTAAAAATCAGCCCAGTAGCATATATAGATGGCCTGATAAAAGAAACAGGAAACTTAAAAGTGCAATAAGGAAACAGCTCACTCAAAAAAAATCCATCCTACCTGGGGCGTTTTTTTTCATTTAGACATTTGTTACGCACCAGTATGGAAATCTGATATTATTTTTCTCAAATTCCACAGTGGCTGCTTTTGCCAGACTTCTTCACTACCAGTTCGAGTTAAAAAGCTAGCTGTTTTTGCAGTGTACGTTTATGAGTTGGCTATTTGTCATTAATTTTTTGCCCGACCGGTTGATATGCACTTGTAAAAATAACACTGAAAAAAAAAAAAAAAAAAAAAAAAGAACACAAGAGAAAAAAAAATGATTTCATCACTGCACTCTGTCGAAAGCAAAGCAATCAACAACTATCACGTTTCTCTCGCATGATTTTTTCAGAATTGATAACTGCACCCAGCGACAAGGTCTCTTTCAATCTGCAAGCGCCCGAGAATAACAGACTCTAAATCGAGTACTTGTTACAAAATTCGGCCGCTATCTCCCCCCCGCTCGGCAAAATGATGGCCAACTCGAGCTTCATTCAAGAGGAGAGCAACTCCATGAAGAAGGCCCACACGCTCGTGAGACGCGTTTCAGACATGTTCAAAGGTACGACAAACAACGTTATTTCATCTCAACAAAAGCAGGTACTTTTTTTTTCTCTCTCCGGTGCCCACTAAACGCCGACTCTTTCTTTACAGACGGCACTTACAGCGGTCCCCCGTCACTCTTCTCCCAGAAGATTCGGCACTGCTGTCAGAACCTGAACCTGTTCCCGTACCTCCTGTACTCGTTCGAGAACTCAAAGTCCCACCCGCTGTCGAAAAAGGTCAACCAGTGCTTCAACCTGATCGTCCAGAGCCTGGTGCACCGGTTCCTCTTCGTGTACACGAGCCTCTGCCGGGCGGTCCTCCACAAGCTCCAGAAGAGGTCGCACCTGGTAACAACCCCCGAGCCCCGCAGCCAGCTCAGCAAAGCCAGAGACACCAGCTGCAGGCCCACCGAGGGAAGAAAGGCAAAGCTCTGCGGATTCCCGAGGCAGAAGCCCAAGCAAGGCTCGGCCCTTCTGGTGGCCTGCATCCACCTCGTGCCCTACATCGTCGGGTTGCAGGTGCTCGGGCTCTGCAGCCTCCTCGTCTACGGCAAGTACTCGCCTGGTTTTATCTTCCTTCTGGTGGTGCTGCTCTCCATGGGCTACGTCAAGATGAAGATTGTCTTCCACGTCAAGTGCAAGGTGGCGGAGAGGAGGGCCAGGACGACGGACAGGACGAGGAGGAAAGTCGAGTGAGCGGTGCACCCCCTCTTCGAGTAACATTTATCAAGTTCCTCCGTGGCGCTTTCGATCTTTTTTTTTTTTTTTTCCTCTAAAACTTCTTTGTTTGCTCAGCGATGTTTGTCTTTTCCATGTAAATGCGTTTAGTTGCGTAGCCTAATTTTTTTTTCATCTTGACTAATTTGCCTGAGCTCGGGGTCCGCTGAACAAAATGCTCGAATGGTCGCCTACCAGCGATGGAGGGTTCCAAAACGATGGACACCCACCGAGTTCAAGCAAATTTCACAAAAGTATACGTATGTGAGTGTGACAAACATCGCTATTGCAACTCGTCGTTCCGAGTTTCGTCAGTCACCGCAACTGATGGGCCGTCAAACTTTGCGTCCAAGAGTATGTACTCCGCGAGGGACTCTTCGAAACTGGGTCGATGGACATTTGTTCCCGGCTCTCCTCCGGGATGATCAGCTATATTCGATCGGATACAACTCAGTTTTGGAGCCGGTCCAAGACGCGCATCTTTCGCCGAAATACAGAAACAACAAAAAAAGAAGCAGATCATCGAACACGAGTTCAAAGGCTAAGCTGTTTGGCTGATAGGAAACTTTCTCGTGGTAATCAATGAGTGAAGTGGCTTTCATTTAAGCAATCTCCCGAAGGTTACAACTGTACGATGTATACTCAGCTTCGACTGATGAAATCGAATGATAATTATGTTAAGATACTTTATCTTCTACGATATAAGACTGAATAAAAATCGTTTTAGTGCACTTGTTTGTAAATATACATATGAAATGATGTGAATTGATAGCGAATATGATGATGGAAATAAGGAATGCGGAGGTGTATATGTGTGTATGATATTGTATGTTCCGTTCACGCATAATGTGACTCGTTTTGTAGACATTTTGTCTCTCGTTAGGTTTTGGTGTATCTATTTTTTTTTTTTTTTTTTTTCGTACGAAGAAAGTGTTTCTTGTTTTTGCAACCATTCTTCTATATTTTTTATTCGTCAAATTTGTACATTTAACAATTATAATTTAAACGAATACGTGAAATGATAAATATTATAGTACTCGCAGTTATAGCTTGGTGATAAGTTTCTACGCTTTTTTTCCCCCCCAATCTCGCAGGACTCTGACAAGGTTTTACAGACAGGTGTGTACATTTTAAAAAGTGTAGACAACGAGATAGAAGTATAAATTAAGCGTCACGCGATACTTTGCAGCGTAAAAAGTCTTGATTATTCGCTATTGTTAATTGATCATCGTATAAATAGGTCTTGTAACAAAGTAGGAAAAATAGCCTTTTAATAGTTGAAAAAGAACGCTTTGAAGTTTTAATTTTACAAGATCACGTTGAAAGACCTATTTAGCTGATAGTCGATTGATAGTGTTGAGAAAAATACTGATGTTTTCGCGAACCGTATACATAGATAGTCGAGAGTGAAAAAACAGATCGTGTCCTCGCTTCTTCTTCCGTCACAGCTGGTAGTAGGCGAAAAAAGTCATGACCAAACTGATCAGACTGCCCAGCCAGACCAGATTCCACTGTGACTTGGTGGACCCGTGATTGACGTACGGGCCGATTTTCGCCGCGTAGGCCACGACGTAGGCCACATAGTTTTGCTCGTGCGTCGTGTGAAACAAGTGCGCGTATGGACCTGTGAAACAAAAAAAATACCGTTTTTCATGCACAGATGCACATTGTCACTCGACGCTCACTGTTTATCATCGTATGATATTTGTTTTCTTTCTCTTAATTGTTAAAGAGTACGATGCACGCGGTACGAGATAACTATAACAATACACGATAGCGTAGTCTTTTTTAGTCGTGTCGATTAAGTGTAGCTTCTTAAGTTATTTGCGCGCGTTTAATTACTACTGTTGCCTTTGTGATATATGCAATATCATTATCATTATGTTGTATAAAAAAAAAAAAAAAAACATCATTAAAAAATTATTGTCTTCTACTATACTGGACGTTTTTTGTTTATCTCCCATTACTATCTCACCTAATGAGTTGTAAGTTGTAATTTTACAGAAATAATGTCATTATTAAAATAACATAAAATTTTCAAGGTTTAAAATTGTAAGGTGGGCTTCAGTCTTCTATTTGTTGTTCAAAAAATGACTCAAAAAATCTTCATAGTCTTTTTTATAAACAAAGTAACAAAAAGATGTAAAGTATCTCAATTCATGTAAGACGCTTCTATAAGTTAGAATTAACGTGTCATTTGCTGCAACTTGTAGATTGACGTGTACGAAGCATAAGTGCCGATTAAACAACATAAGTTGAACATATAAAAAACGCATACTATGAAAAGGCTCGGAAAAAAAATTTCATAACTTTTGATAAGCTCAACACGAAGCACACATTTTGCAATCACAGTTGTAACTTTTGCTTTGTCACTGGGGTTATCAATTTTCTACCACTAGTATAATTTTGATTTCATAAAAATAATTATGAAGTGTTGTGACATAAGTACCATTTCAAATCTCAAAAGCAACATTAATTTTATCAATGGTAAAAGCTTGTGTTAAGACATCAACGAAAACAATGATAAGGTGATGCTTTAATTAGTATTCTTGCTATCCCCTGTCCAATAATCCAAAACAGTCATACAGACCTGTATGGTCAACAACACTGATGCTATATGGATCACCAAAAAAAAATGCAATCATTCAAGACCTGCAAGAGATTACAACATTTTTGCAATCCAGCGGTAATCATTCAAATCACTACTCAGCCAACGAAAACAGTGAAAAAAGGACGTGTGAATGGAAAAAAAAAAAATCGGTTAACTAACCACTTGCGTAAACGGTCACATCGCCGCCACCGTGGTGAGCCTCGTCAGTGATGACGGTCGCCTGCTGGCTGTAAGTGAACTCCGTCGTGTTTTCCTTCGTGGGATCACGCCTCACTGCAGTATTGTTGTACGCCTCGTATGCCAAATTGTTCGGCCCACCCGTTCCGTACGTCAGTGTCGTGTATGGCACTTTGTCGTACTTTGACACCTCCGCCACTCCTGTGGTAATTTATCATTCAAATATTCGTACTCAAACGGTTTTTAACAAAAATTATAAGTATGTCATTGGGCCACCCGATCTCGAAGAAATGTCCAAACGACCGTCCAATAAGATATACAAGTGTCGCGTTGCGTCACTCCCGCACGCGCGAGTGGCGTAACTTACCTAGAATATTGGCGCCACGCGGGCTGTTGCCATTGAAGGCGAGGGAGTGCGTGTGATCGCTAGTCACAACGACAAGTGTGTCCTGGAGGTCGACCATCCGCAGAGTGGCGTTTACCGCGTCCGACAGTCGGACCGTCTCCAGAAGTGCCTGGGCCGCGTGGCCTCTGTGATGGGCAAAGTCGATCAGGCCGCCCTCGACCTGGTTAATGTGGTGAAGGTTTTTTTTTTTATTTTCAACACATTGGGGCGCCTCATTGTTACGAGTGTCGGGGGCGTCCTTTGAATCTTAAAATTTGCCCGATTGTACGGAGACGCGAGATTTTGTTGGTATCGGGCAGTGAGGAAATATTCGATACGACGTTCGTGTCAATTTTTCTTGTAGTCATGAATACATTTCTGTACTCGCAGGGAAATTCTAGTAATAATCAGTGCAAGTGTATACATAATGTAAAAAACAATACCGATATGAGCTTGCGTGTAAACATGCGCTCGATAAATCCTCGTAGCTGTTGCTGTCCATTGTATAGATTGTCGCGTACGCGACCCGTCTGTACCCCGTATGAAAATGAATATACCTATATGTATACTGGTACGCAATAAGTGACACACGAGCGTCTGGGCAGTGTCTGTAACTCGTCTGGGGCTCGATAAGCATGTGCACGTGACACTCGAATGTGTCGCAGAACTTTTAAAAATTTTCCCAGTTCCACCATTAGTAAAGTGTTTTTTTTTTTTTTTTTTTTCACTATACATCGTTGACTAAACGACCACTTATTTCGAGCCTTATCGATGAAAAAAAAAAAAAAAAAAAAATCATGAAAATAAGAGTTGTCGTCTGAAGATATCAAAGAGACGTCGCGACGAGTATTTTGCTGTTTGTTTCCCGCCAAGCTTGTCGTTATCTTGCGTGCCCGTAAGGTTCTATGAAAAGAGACGGAGAATTTAGCAAAGCCTGAAAACTAGGGCTATCCCAGTGTTAAATTGTTATAAGCAGCTGAAGTACCATAACAGTTCCTTTGATAGAATGTTTTCTACGATAATAATATTTGAATACCATGAGATGGCAGGTAGTTTATGAAATTAATTTTTCTCAAATCTTAAATGTAAATAATTGAGTACACTTTTCTGAAAAAAAAAAAAAAAATTTCATACCACCAACAAAAATCCCTCGCTGTTCTTCCTTAAAACCTTAATCGCTGCGATGGTCATATCCTCGAGACTCGGCTGGCCCCCGTCGCCTTTGTCTCGCTTGAAATCCATGGGCAAGTGTCCATTGGCAAACACACCGAGCAAAAACTCGGTCTCCCCGTGATTAACGTTGCGCAGCTCCTCGTTCGTTTGCACGACGCTAAACGTGGCTTTCCTCGATTTTTTATCAGCCACCCACGCGCTAATCAAATTACGGCCGTCTTTGCGCTTGCACGCCCACGTATCGATGGGGTCCGCTTCCGTGGCGTTGACGTGCGTCTGCAGCACCTGCCTGCCGCCGCCCATTATCACCTGCGTTAACACGTGCAAATGTAAGATCGCCGATGAATCGATTTGAGGCTTCTTTCTACCAACTTTTTTTTTTCGTGCAGGTTTCTTAATGAGGGAAAGCTCGACAAACCTTGATGTTCCTTCCCGGCTTGTCCTCGACCAATTGCCTGGCAATGTCTTTGCAATTTTTCGCACTTTCGGGCATTATGCTCTCGCATTCCCATTTTCTGTTTGAGCCACTCGCGTAAAGCGGTGCTGGTGTTGCGTGGGTCACTCTCGTGGTGGTGACGAATCCTAACGAGCGAGTGCAGATGTATTCACAGCACAGGTGCGTTCAAACATTCAAACAAAAACAATATTGAAAGGAATTCTCTACAAGTGACCGATCGATGCAGATGAGAAGCGGAAATAGTTTATGGTCCAAGTATATGAATACATCAGGGAAAAAAAGAACATGCAAAAATCACCAATGTTATACGAAACATTATTTTTCAGACTTTGATAAGTATTCGCCTGAATGGAGGAAAGGCGTTATTTGGCTCTGCGATTTATGAGAGGATTGACTCGGTTTTTGCGATACAGAAGAATTTACTCTAATCCCAATTACATCATATAGGACCAAATTCAGACTGAAAAAAGTGTCGTGTTAAAACGAAAAGCTGATTTTAATTTAAACCGAATAGTTGTTGTTTGAATCAAATAAACATCGTATTTTATCGTGAACCCTTTTTTTGCAAGTGATTTGGGGTGGAAAAATCAAATAAAATACCTTTTCCACAATCTCGCACACTTGGTACCTGAAAGCTACATTTCTAGCACTAATTAACAAAATTATGATTATTTTAGAGTTACTTTTTAAAAAAGACTTATTTTCTTTATCAAAATAACCTTTTATTTTAATTGACAGAAGTTCCTTTTCGTAGTAAATTTTTTTATATCGTGAGACCGAAAATCAGACCTTTTTTATTCCGGTGAGTTCTTCTATTGTTCTTTCTAGCACTGAGAGGAAAAAATAATAAAAATTATAGAGAAATTCCAGCAAAAGTTACCATTTTGTACAGTAAATCGGATGCAAGCTGGCAAAAAAAGAAAAAATTATTATTTTTAATAGTTAAAATTATTGTTTTAATAGTAAAAATTGTGGTTAAAACAATAAAAATTACTAGATTAACTGAGTTCTCGCTAGTTCTCGCTTGGACGTTGGAGAAACATTTTAAATCAAAATTTTATTAATAACTGGGTTTATTAAGAATAATTAAAAACTTTCGCTTTGTTTCAAAATTTATTTCTTACTCTAAGTAAGTGTCAAAGGTTGTCGTGTAATATCGAACCTTTGACAATGTCGTAACTGCCGAAACAGCTGTCAGCCTTACTTAGAGTAAGGAATAAATTGTGAAACAAAGCAAAAGTTTTTAATTATTAATAAACCCAGTTATTAATAACATTTAATACATTTCACTTTCCCGTATTGTAATTTTTACTGTTATAACCATAATTTTTACTTTTTGAGCCATAATTTTAACTGTTAAAACAATAACTATTACTGTTAAAAATAATAACTGTACCCTTTTTTTACCAACTTGCACGGTTTTGCATTACTGTGCAGAATGGTAATTTTACTGGATCTAAAAAATTTTTGTTATTTTTTTCTCTCAGTATGGTATGTGTGGCTGCGTATATATAGGTACAACGTGAGAGCGAATGAATACCAGTCTACGTTATCGACCGATCAAGTCAAAGTAGTAACCTGTACTTTTCCCCGCCTCCTGAGCCCAACTGACGATCGACTCGACCCGATTGCTGGGAAGAAGACTAGCTTCGCAATCGTCGACCGCTACATTGGCGTCGACCCCGTGGGTATTGTAATTCGTCTTGACACCACCGAACAACGCCGTGGCCGTCGACGCCGAATCCGGCGCTTGTTTATCCGTATTGTAAGTCTAGAGAAACAACATTTCAAAAAAAAAAAAAAAAAAACGTAGTCTCAGCTTGAAAAACTGCCCAGTCAGGAGCAATTAAATCGCTCCAGTTACAAGTGGCACGCAATTCAAGCGAAGCCAATTATTTTTAATTCCAACGTACTCCCGAAGAATTTTTATCGTCGCAAAAGAATAATTCAAGTTGAAAAAAGAAAAAACCATTTCCCTTTTACAATTTTCCGTGGAACATATATATTTAGCGATAAAGAACCAACGACTCACCGGAAGTTGTTAAAGCAGCGTACCTTGAGCAAACCGACGTGGGGAAACCTTTCCCATGCGAGGTAACTGCCCTCCCCGGCCCTGTAGATCCTGCTGGCCGCTATTGTATCGGGACTCATGCCATCGCCGACGAACACCACCACGTTTTTCGCGCTCCTGACATTCCACGTGTACGACAACGCGTCCCGCACCTCTTGCTCCGCGATCTCACGCCAATGGGCCTTGTCTGCGTTTACGTAACAGCAAAAAAATACAATCGCATCCTTATCCACGTATACCCTTTATCACTTACCTTCCCTCGCTCCGCTCGCTGTGCCGAAAAACAGCAGTAGGAACGCCACTTTCCAACGTTGCATCCTTGCTGCGGGGCTTCACTGGTGCTCGGCTTTTCTGACGGAGCCTCGAGGTTTATATCGATTAATGTTCGGAACACCGGGGAAACAGTGGGATAGCCAGCGCATCGCTTATCTGACTGATAAACAAACGAGATCCGTTCATTCGGCCCCGGGAAAAATATTTCAACATCGTCGCGAGAGTCAACACAGCGGCTCGTTTTAGTTATTGTTGTTATCTTTTGAAAGGTGGCTTGCGTGCATCTCGCATCGCGTGTGCCGTACACATTGTATAATAATTTTGTACTCTCTTGGCTGACTAGTGCCGCCATCTGAGCACGTGAATTTCCACGCGGCTCCACGCGAGGTACTAAGATGCATCGGCTGACGAGTCCAGCGTCGATTCGACTTTTTTGTTTTTCCTCGCTTCGATTACTTAGCAATCAATATACTTCATTGAGCAAACAATTGATCAGAAGTCGGTTGTTACGGTTAATATTTTTCATACATGTTTGGCTGTGGCTGTAGAACCTTTGAACTCTGGAGTGATAAAACAGTTGCTGACTTTACCCACACTTCGCTATTTTTGCTCAGCTGTTGAACAAAGCCGAAATTTATACAATATACTATTAGTTTTTGAGAAGGGAGTATCGATAGCAGTTATTTTTTTTTTACAACGATGATTAACAGTCAACGTTAAAACGTTCAAACGCTCATTTAACGCAATTAAAAAAAAAAAGTAGTCTATAAACATGTCACTTTGTAATTCTTTAAAAAAATGCTCCTTAAAAAGAAAGCAAAATAAACACATGTAATATATACTTCCTATAAAATGTAGAAGGAGCGAGGCGAGCATCTCATTGCTCGCGGGAGAAGAATTTATTGATCGGGGAACTTTTTGTGTATAAAAAAAAAGTATGCAAGGCCACATAAAAGAGGGTAAATACGGTGGGGTAGTAGATTTGTAGTTCATGATGGTACCATGTTATTAGTCCACAGTCTTAGGTACATCGAAAAAATCAGTATGTTACAGATTTTTTCAGCAAACCATTCATTTTATAACTTAATTAAAATAAATAGTTAAAAATATACAATTAAAAATTGTAATTGTGATTGTAAACAAACACAGCTTGAAAAAAATGGAAATGGATGGGATAAATTTTTTTCGTTCCTTTTGTTTTAGCACGATACCAGCCGAATAACAAGAGAAGTCGGTAAATGTCGTTATCAGTACTCTCCCCCAGCTTGTGCCTTAGTATCCACTTCTGCATATCTGTTTGCTAAATCTTTCACTACTTTAAATGGGAAAACCCTTACAGTGACCTGGCTACGGCAAAGGTGGCATAGAAAGAGGGAGAAAATTAATGTTTATGCTATCTCGAGTATTTTTTGGAATGAAGATAAAATAGTGGAGATAATATTTTTAAAACAAAAGGTAAGCTTTTAAAAAGAAGAATAATTCACGAAACGGTCAAGCATTTCAACAGCTTGATATCTTGTCTGTGATGATGGATTATAAGTTCATTGATCTATCGATCGGCTCGTCAATCTAATTAATAATTTTAACTGAGTATCGCACTTCTTCAGAATTTTTTGAACAACAAATTTACGTAAAGCAACAAAAATACGTAAAGCAATAGTGGGCTAGTGAAAACCAGATATTTTCTTTGGAAGGAAAAGTTGTCAATGCTAATTAATTACCATTACATGGGGTGTGTTGTGAAAATTATTGCTATAATTTTTTTTTTTTTTCTTTTAATTGTTCGACAAGAGGGAATAAAACTCATTGACAAAAATGTACCAAATGAGTACCAATCCTTGTTTCTGATCTCAATCCGACAACAGAAGTGCTTAAATTCCTGTCCATAGCCGCGACACTGACCTAAATACTTGGCACGGACAGAGGAGTCCAAGAGAGAGAGAGAGAGAGAGAGAGGTGAGGTCCGAAAACGCGTGTAGCAGCACTCGGCATAACCACAGCGACGACAGCGAATTCGTGCGAGCTGCACACCCGATTCGATCGATGTACGAGCCAAATGCGAACTAAACGCTTCTATGATGGAAACGATCGACGCATGCATGGGCTATGCGGTGGACACCACGGACGTTTGACCAGTATGCAAATTGCCGAGTACGAGTCTGGGATTATTGGCCAATGCCCGGAGGGTAAAGGTCGATCGTTTGCCGGTGCACGAGGTCACGGACTGGCTGCTTTTGTTTGGACCCCTAAGCCCCGGTTTTGCGAACAAATTAAAATTTTTACCGCTGCTCCATCCTTTGCACCTAAAAAAAGGAACTGAGAAAATGAGCGGTGAAGCGCACTTGCAATGTAAATAACGGCATGATAAATCACCACTTCGCTTCTGGGCGGCGATCTCGCGACTTTTAGCAGAGTTACAAAAGCGCTGGAAAAGAGAGAAGCACAGCGGGCCCGAGGAGCGGGAAAATAACAAGGACGACTTTTACACTATCGGTGTCGTAAATTTAAAGAGCTTTTGTTTTTAACGCCGCTCCTTTTCTGCATTCGCCAACTTTTGCGCCAACTTTGCCAACACTTTGTGTTTTCGTTGCTTTTCGAGATCATACTACATGCAACACTGCGAGGAGTCAGTTTTTTTTTTTTTTTTATTATTTTTTTTTTTTAAACTAGCAAAAAA